TTGGCACAACTACTGCGAGAAACAAATTTTTATGAAACGCCGATTTCAGAGTTGGTGAGAAATTTTTTTCCGAAACAGCCCGATCAATTTTAAGTCGAGTAGATTTAGTCGACAATCTCAGATACCACCACGAGTATCTGACACTTTGTATGGTCCTCTCTAAGTGAGTCATATAGAAGGACGGGAATATTGAGCGCCTTATAGAGTTTTGTTTTTGTTTACTTTCCAAGTGCCTACTCAGTCCGGAGTAGCACCTGCTGACACGACTTCGAAGTTATGACTGTCAGTGACGTGGGGAATACAGATTGGTGGAAACCAAGATTTTTGGTATATGGTGTCTGTGGTGGTATATGGGATGCGCTAGGCATAAGTGCACATYGGAACCAAGAGCACCCACGTATCCAATGGAAGGACCAAGTACATAGGGACCTGTCCACGCTTTGAATGTGCAACTGGTGTAACCACGCAAATGGTAGAAGCAAATTGGCGAAGTTTTATATTCTCGATCCAAACCGACCCATTGTTGTACTGGGAAGGAGGGGAAGAAGAAAACATTTTAAACTTGTGACATAAGTATGTGAAATAAAATTTTAGGATATTAAATCATTATGCTCAGTGTTTGGGACTTCAGAAGTTTGCAGTACTAAAACACTGTATCCTAAAGTTTAGAGCCCACCGGRTGGTCGGAAGCCATTGGGTTGCCGCTTTTTCGTAACACGAATGATAAAACGGCATGCTAAACTTCGATATCAGATTGACGTTCTATGGGATGTAGACTACGTTCACAAATATCAATAATTACTCCMTGACATGCATGCCCGTGAATCTACCGACGAAAAATATTAATTTTAGAAACTCTTAGTCAGAATGCACTGAAAAACTGTTCCTTGAAAACTCATTTTATTAGCTTTTATCACGCAAAGCACTAGACTGCATTMAAATGCATCTACGAATTCGCAAATTTCAATAATTCTGTGTTATTGTAAGTAAATATGTAGATAGAATATAAATATTTTATGTATACACCTACGAGGTGTTCTGTAGCTTTATCGATGTTCTACATGTATGTTATGGTGTTTATCAGCTGTTAACACCGCTAATCGGTATAAGCATTTAAATAAATATTTCTGATTTTAAAATACTTAAATCCTTAGATCCAACTTCATTCAAACTTAGAGACAATCTACAATATATAAATATCTTTGATTATTTCACTCTTACTTCATAAATTATTATTAGTAGATGTTCTATCTTGCATATATTTTTTAAAATTATTAAGCGCAATTTTTATTTCGGAATTTTATTATTTTAGAAAATCAATATGAAAGCACCTCGTTTATTTTTCTCTTTTGAACTTCACCAGTATAAATTTCGAGAGCGATGATGAACCTCTTAATACCGTTAGCGTAATATATTAACTGCACCGAACTGTCTATATCTAAGCAAAATTCGCAGCTATTTATAAATAACGAAATTGGTATTTCTGCAAACCGTGACCTCTGACAATACACTGACTTCTGCTCATAAAAGTAATTATATCAAATTATTTGCGAATTTCCCATGCCAACACAGTACTTAATTTTCAATGCATTCCTCTACTCATACCAACACTTATGAGTTGAAGTACATAACTGTAAATACATATGTACACCTTCTCATGATACTTATCTATTACCCAGCAGTTAGTCAGATACACTAGGTAGTGGTTTTTAATTGGTCCTTATTAGGTACATATGGCAACTTCTTACAACTCTGAATACAAAAGTTGAGTAAAAGTTTCCTATAGACAGGTTGTAAATTAGTTCTCATTCTTCTTTTTATTCAAACAAAAAAAAAAAAAAAAACATAATTCACATATAGTCTTACAAATTGTCGCGAGATTTTCATTATGCTAAGGGGTTACATGGGTTTCCTCAGGTAAAAAACAGTACTTTTGCAAAAAGATTTTTCTCRTATAAGAAATGAAAATTTTATTAGAATTTTTTATTGTTACAAACATACACTATAATCAAAAAAATTCTAAAACTTTTAGAATAAAATATTTTAAACTTGGCCATTGCCACGCCATTTCTGGTGATTCCATGGATAACTTCCTTGGTAGGATAACTCCTAACAGGATCATCTAAAGTGGAAAAATACGTATTTTAGTTAAAACTTAACGTAGAACTTTAACGAAAGAAAAAAGGCACTGAAAATTGGGTATTTGACAGATATTTATGAAACAAAAAATTAAAATTTCAGCGAAAATTTCGGGACATTTTTTTTTTTTTCAAATAGTTTTAATCTAAAAAAATCCTTCGTTCAAGTGTATAAGAATTGTATCTCAAAGGCTGTTGTAAAATTTCATGAAAATTAGTTGAATAGTTCTCGAGAAACTTTGCAAACTGACGTCAAAAACACGTTTAAGACATGGCACTAGCCTAGCTTAGCGTACAAGTTCTCGAGGCTGTATATCCGAAATTATTACTCGGATTAACTGGAAAATTTAGTATAATTTTCTAGAGGTGTTGTGGAATTTAAAAAGCAATAAAAAATTTAATTCCTTGAAACCCGTAACCCATTTAACCCCTTAAATRTTAATCACTCTAATTAAGTTAATACAGCTTTGATATATGTATAAGGATATCGTTAAACATATAGAGATATTTATGATTTCCCAACTTTCATGACAAATTGACTGATTGAAATTGATGCCATTTTTATTTCGGATTTGCTATTTTTTCTTAAAAAAATTAGTGCTTAATATTAAAAGTATAAAATATAAAATTATTAAATGGAATAATTARTGAAAGTTGTTGTGACTGAAATTTTTTAAATTAAATAATTGCCAATTTTATTTAGTCAAATACACCAGGAATATCTACTGACAAATATAGAGAACGAGAGATCACCTTTTTCAGGTGCTCTGCGACAATTCAGTACAATCACCCCAAATCAAATACACTAAGGGGCCTCTACTAAAAAATACAGGAACAATTTAGAACCCAGTGTTTTTTTCCAACAACTCACTACAATCACCCCCGGGCTCGGTTTTATCTCCACCGTCTACCTTGCTGGATTTCATTTGGCTGCGCGTGCAAAATTACGAATTTACGAATAATTTTAGCACAGAAAAACAAAAACCATTCCAAACGCCCTATGGTAGACTTTTAAGAGTTTTTATTCACGGTTGTCGTTGATTTCGATTCTACGACTAGTCAGTCGGCCAATTTGCAGTTACTTCTCCGTCGTCATTTGGCAGTGATAGCACTCGCAGCACTCTGTGCGAATATCTCTTGCAGGTGACGACGCGTCAGTCACGACAGCGTCATGACAGTGCCATTATAGAAAACATATTTGTTTCACCGTTTACATGTGGTTGTGTAAACAAGCAGTGTGTGTGTGTGTTTGGTGGTTTGAGTCCTAGGTAGTCCTGTCAATTACCTTCAAGTGTTTCGTGGCAGTTTTAGTTGTAAATCAGTCGAGTGATTGGCAAGATGTGGAAAATCGCAAATAAAGCGGTAGTTGGAACAAATTAGTATTTATTAGCATATTATTTTAAGTAATATCAACAGCAATGTACATACATAATTGTATTATACACGACGAAATCTGTTTGTATTTGGATTATATGAAAATAAATTATTAATAAAGTTTTATTGTAAATATGCAATTGGCTTGTTTCGCTTATGTATTATTCCATTATGATTGGCGGACCTAGAAAGTACATACAAAATAGTTCTAAATCATACACATTTTATACTGTAAATATACATATTTTTATTTCAAATATTTGGTGTTTTGAAATATACTATATTCCTCCGGCGCATAAACTATTGAATGAAATGGATGAAATAATAATGTAAAATTAAAATTCATGATATAAAAATGTCACAAATAAATTAACTTAAATTCAAAACAAAAAAAAATTTTTATAGATATAATTATTTTAATATTTTGGTTAGTCGAAAAAGTCTATTCGTATTTTGTCRATAGATGTCATTGCAGCCGAATATCTCCAGTGCTACCAATCATATTGTGTTATAATATATAGTGTTGGAAAGGTGAGATTTTTAGCTTCATTTAACCAAAAAATTAAATTCGAGGACAAAAAGAAGCTCGATGTTTGGGTGCTACATGAATTGTCTGTGAAAAATTTAATGGAACGAATTAACATCTACGATTCTTTGCTGAAACGAAATGAAATAGACCATTTCTGAAGCGAATGATAACAGAAGACGAAAGTAGATCAAATATGACAATAATGTGCKATAARGACCWTGGTCCAAGCGTGATGAAGCTCAACAAATGGTCGCAAAGCCAGGATTGACGCCTTGAAAGGTTATGCTGAGTGTTTGGTGGGATYGGAAAGGAATTGTACCCTATGACTGGCTCCAGCCTGGTTGAAGGATTGATTCTACATTTTGCTGTCAACAAATGACAGGATTGGCCCACACACAGCTTTGATGACTCGACAGAAACTGGGAGAGCTTGGCTGGGAAGTTTCGATGCATCCACCATCGGACTACCATTTATTTTGGTCAATGCAGAACTGCCTTAATGGAGTAAAGTTAGCTTCAAGAGAAGCCCATGAAAATTACTTGTCATAGTTTTTAGCCGAGAAACCAGTAAAGTTTAACACTGATGGAATATTGTTTCTAGCGGAAAAATGGCGAAAAGTGGTAGACCAAAATTTTACATATTATATTTGGTTCATTAAAGTTCATTATAAATATAAATAAAAAAAATAAGTTTAAGTTTGATTAGAAATACGAAAAGACTTTTTCGACTACCCAGTATAAGACAAAGAATAAACCTAATATATATGAATAATGATTTATAATTTATTTTGCCATAAAATAATAATAGACAATTTAAAACAATAGATTTCTACAGTAAAAACATTTTTAAACCAGTAAAAATGTATAAATTCTCAAACTGTAATAAACAATTGAACAACAATATTGAAATATAGTTTTGCAAATTGTTTTGATACATTGAATAACGGCACCGATACTAGTATGGCCACAGCTGACCACACTACTGATGGTCAAATGGATGAGCTGAATAGTGAAGAGGGTACGCCAACAAGGTCACATAGCCGGCAGGTAACTGACTTCCATAAAGCGGCAAACGTGTAAATAACTACATATAGCCATAGCATGAAGGCTTGCATGATTTCTACATACATATATATTTATTTTGATTAATGAACACATTTTACTATCAGTGAGTCTCTTAAGCTTTATACAAATAAATATGAAATTGTAAGTATATATATTGGTTATTTTAACTACTAGCTGTTTATATTTAGTATTAGCAACAAGAGAACACTAATTACAAAAGTGCATTCAATTATATGACAACACCCCATGACTGCAAATATCTTTTAAAAATAAATCCTTTACTTAAAAGTTAAACCAATATCTCTCTCAACCCATTTATCGTAATCGCATTTCTAACAGATCAAATCGGTTTCGAAATCGAACATCAGAGATGGCGGTGGTGACGCTGATGATTTCGATGCTTGGATTAAATCGCGCCAGTTACTCAAGCCAGATGATCAGTTGGAGTTAACAGAAGCTGAGTTGGCCGAGGAGGTGACTAGGGTGCTGACCACAACAAATACAAATGTCATACACAATTTGGTTGTGTACAGCTTCAAGGATAGCGCCTTCGTTCAGGTGAGTGTGCGTTTAATTATAAATACAATTAGTTTTTACTTTTATTTTAACTAGGTTATTATATTTACATAACACATTGTGATAAAAAAAGTATCCAGAAATTGTGAATAAAACGCAAAATATTTAATTCTTCATTAATATTTATTTTGTTGCCTGCAAAGTAATTCCCACCAGATGAAAAAAATTTATGCCAACGATTTTTCCAGTCCTCGAAACACTTTTCATAAGCCCAATTTGGGATGGCTTTCAGCTTCGATCGACTGAAAACGAGTTGCATTTTAGCGATTTATGCCCAAAGAGACCTGTTTACGGCACTCTTTTTGAAAAAAAACCGGCTTTATCGGAACGAGTCGAGCAAGAACGTGTTGCAAAACCCCAAAATATCCACCAAAATCATTCGAACGGACTCGTGACCGATGTCGAGCTCTCTAACACTTACCTGACGATCGTCAAGCACCATATATTTTATTTTTTTTTTTAATATTTTCATCAGTTATAAAGGTCGAAGGACGTCCAGAACGAGGCATGTCTTCAACGACTTCTCGACCGTCTTTGAAGCCTTTGTACTACTCTTAGTCTTGTGTTTGATAAAACTGAATCACCGTAAGCCATTTCCAACAATACAAAATTTGACACAAATTCTTTGGTCAGATTTTGCTATGAGTCCAATTCAGTGTTTTTATTAATTTTATCCAAAAGACCATAAACACAAGCTCCTCTTAAATACTTTTTTCGCTTTAGGTTGCATTCGCAATGAGATTTGTAGGGACTCCGTTTTAAACATCATCAAAAGTATGGTTTAGTTTTATATAATATTGAGAGATGATAAGAGATCAAGATGAATAGTCCATAAAATCCGGGCCGAATAACCTCGATAGTATTTGATCTTGTTTGAGTTTCTTTGCRTCAAAGATCTTCTTTGCTGAAAATAGCGATCGAACTAGCGTGGCTGTACAAAAGTTCTATTTTATAGAATACATTGAGTATTGTGGTGTAAAATATTGCATGTAACAACTAAATACAAATTTAGTGACAACTTTTAGGTGCCGATTGCYGGAAACACTGTAACACTAATGCAAATGGAGGGCAGTGCCTTGCATATAGATTCGGATGAAGCGAAAATACAAATGGAGGAGATGGGCGAAATCGGTTGATATTTTCTTTACTTTWTAGTAACCAAAGTRCCCAAGTAAAATAGTGTTTATCTTCAACTTTAGGGTACCCATTACCCACACTTATTGGTTCCTTCGTTGAGGCTGAAGTTGAAGACAGAAAAAGTCGTATTCCTAAAGTGGAGGAAGAGGAAGAAGAGGATGAGGAGAAGGCAGCAAAGCAAGCTAAAGAAGCGGATGAAGAAATGGCTGAGGAAGAGCTAGAGGGTGAAGAAGAAGAGGCAGTTGAGGAAGGCGCTGCAGATGCTGAGRCTGCAGCAGCTGAGGAGGGCGGAGAAGCGGCAGGTGCGCAAATATATAAATAAATAACTTATTTATAGAAGAAGAAACTCATTTAGATAACTAATTTAGAGAGAAGAAATAATTATGTAACCTACATATATTTGTAATTGTGTTTAGGAGCGCCAACTGCARCACCGGCAACGGGTGGACGAAAGCGCAAACTATTAAATCAGTTTAATTTCTGTGAACGTTCCGCGTTAACGTATACCAATCCGAGAAGGGTAAGCCACAATGAAATGTATATAATAAATATTAAACTCTTCTGCAACACATATKTAGAGTGTAGAAACACAAACCATACCTCCACCCCGCTCTCAGTATGGCGCCAATGTCTTGCAATGGAAGATTTACGACAGCTATGCTGAGGACTTTGAACAGCAGCAAAAGGAGAAGGAGAAGAAGGACGATAAGCGGGGCGGACATCGAAAAGATGTCGGCGCGAAAAAGTTAGATAAGGCAGCCGAAGCCGAACTGCTCAATAAAAAGTATCTCAAGGCGTGGCAGATATTGGAACGCATGATAAATCAAAATATATACGAGGAGATCGCCAACGACTATCGTTATTGGGAAGATCCGGCTGATGAATACCGAGAGCAAGAGGGCACCTTGCTACCGCTTTGGAAATTCAACTATGATCGCATACGAAAATTAAGTGTCACCGATTTGCTATTCAATCCAATGTATTACGATTTATTTGCAGTATGCTACGGTTCGCGTAAGTCTCGTAATAAAAATTATAATAAGAGACTTTTTATGTAATGATAACCCATAGATGAGTTCATGAAGCAACCGAATGAGGGCGCGATTTGCTTTTTCACCGTGAAGAACCCCTCCTATCCGGACTATATAAGTAAGCAAATCACTTTGGCTTATCGTAATGTAATGTTATGAGTGCAGTCCTTTTTTCTATATTTACTACATAGTATCGACGGAGAGCGGCGTCATGTGTTGCGATATCCATCCGACGTATCCGTTTTTAGTCGCAATAGGTTTGCTTTATTTCACGAATGTTGTACAACAATAACTATGGGCGCTTATTTATTTTCTAGGCATGTACGACGGCAGTGTGGCGGTCTATAATTTAAGAGAGAACTATGAGAAGCCGCTTTATCTGTCGGTGGGTGTACACAATAAGCATTCGGAATGTGCATGGGAGGTATGTAGAGATACATTTGCTTCCAATTTTCATACAATCAGCACTCAATACCAGAGCATGTCCAWTTGGACTACGTCAAGATCTATCTTTATGGTTAATYAATTTTGACACATTTCATTCACAGATCAAATGGGGTCCCGATATGGCGGACGGTGAGATAAATTTTTACTCCGTCTCAACGGATGGTCGGGTYTTCAACTGGGTACTCATGCAGAATGACTTCATGATTACGACAATAACAACGCTCTTTCTTACGAACGGCATTGTTGAGGGACCCGACGGCACCGAAGTACAGTTACGCAGTTGTGGTTCTTGCATGAAATTCCATCCGACCAATCCGGAAATCTATCTAGTCGGCACCGAAGAGGGTCTCATCTACAAATGCAGCATCGCGTATAGTTCGAAATATTTAATGACGTACAATGCACATCATCTCACTGTCTATCGCATCGATTTCAATCGCTACAATTCGAATATTTTCATTTCGTGCAGCGGCGATTGGCGCGTCAAAGTGTGGGAGGATATGCGTCCGGAACCGCTGTTCATTTTCGATCTCGGCTCCTCTGTGGGCGATGTCAAGTGGGCGCCCTTCTCGAGCACGGTTTTTGCCGCCTGCACCAACGAGGGCAAAGTGTTCGTCTTCGATTTGAATGTGAACAAGTACAAGCCGATTTGTGTGCAAGCCGTCGTCCCGAAACGCAAGAATAAGCTAACGCGTTTGGTATTCAATGAGAATCTGCCTTTCCTTATTGTCGGCGATGATAAGTGAGTTGGATACTCACCTTGAGTGGTATAAGTTTGTATTAATTTTGTCTTTGACTTTGTTACTCTTGCAGGAGCACTGTGACCTCGTTAAAGCTATCGCCCAATTTGCGTCTGATGGTGAAGCCGCCCAAAAAGCAACAGTATCTCGATCAAAATACGCTGCAGGTGCAAAAGTTGGACAAACTGCTGTCGCTGGTGCGTGAATTGCCAAACGATATGATAGTGCCCGATGCACCCACCACGACGAAGAGCTAGAAGTCGGCGCGATACTACTGAGACTGCTTACGTAACCTTAATATATTTTTGTAATCTATAAATATTGTTTTTGTAATCTAAAAAAAATATTGTTTTTGAATTTTGTTTTTCACGAGCCGAGGCGCTTTGTTTCGCTAAAGCCTTTGCGAATAACTGTATAAAAAATCTGTTATAATCAGCGCCGAAAATAAATGAGAAATGCCGTTGTTTTATTAATCAAATATTTTATTTGTAATGTAATGAAAGTCTGTGTTTGTGTAAATTTTAAAGTATTTGAGAGGTGAGCGTTACAGTTTTACACCGAAAATCTTAATATTTGCATAAATTTATTTATTTTTATTGAGCTATTTGATCTATTTATATGAATGTGTATATATAAACAATATACATATATGTGAGTATATTTGTGTATATATACTAAGGTAATATACTCGTACATTAGCGAATGTCACTTTATTTATCCCATCTGTTGTATTTATGTATGTTTTAATTATGTAGTCATTGCATTGAGTCCTTCAAAATATAATGCATAGTTTATAGTATGTGTGTGTGTGCATTAGGATGTCCGTTATTTCTCAAGTTGATTTTTTTTGCGAGAGCCTCTAAAGTTACAGTTTTAACCCTAAAAATGATCCAAAGTAAACATTYTCTTTATTTTCAACTTAAATAGTGTCTAAATCTTTATTCTTTTCCCATCAATTGGTAGTCGAAAAAGTCTTTTCGTATTTTGTAAATAGATGTCGTTGCAGTCGTATATCTCCAGTGCTACCAATCATATTGTGTCATATCATATAGTGTTTCAAAGGTGAGGTTTTAAGCTTCATTTAGCCTAAAAAAAAAAATAAATGCAGTGAAGTTGAAAAAAGTTACAGGTGTTCAGAAATGAGTGAAAATAATGAAGAAATTCATTATATTTTGAAATTTTTGTATAGAAAAGGGAAGAATGCCACGCAAGCCACCAATGAAATTTGTGAAGCTTAAGGAGACCATGCTGTATCAGTTCGTGTAGSMCAACAATGGTTCGCTCGCCTCCGTTCATGGAATTTTGAAWTTTCGATTTACACTGATGGCTTTAAATGGCAAAAAGTGGTCGACCACAATGGATCATATTAGTTTATTTATTTATTATTAAAAATATTAACAAAAAGTTGAAGTTTGATAAGAAATACGAAAATACTTTTTCGACCACCCAGTATATGGGGAAAGTAAAATTATTGTTTRTGTTGTATCACTTTTTTAAGGTAAAAACTGGAAAGATAAAAAAAGTCAACTTTCAGAATAAGGGACACCCTAGTGTGCGTGTATGAGTGTATTTATGGAACTATGTACGTTTCAAAATTACTTTCAAAGCAATATTTTTTACACCAAAATATGTATACAATAAAAATTTCCTTATTTATAACTTATTAATATCAGAAAACCAACCGTTTTATACACTTCAATAAATAGTGGGTATGCAAATACATATAGATATGTATGCATGTTTATAAATAGTAATAGCAGAACAAAATACTTGAAGCCGTAGCGCGGAGTACGAGYTTACATGCAGTACAATTATCACATATGAATGTCGAATGAGTGTTTAGTGTAGTTATACAGTTATGTATTTGTATAGCTATGTATATATGTATGGTAAAGTTTACAATTGAGCACTATTAACAACTTATTTTGCAACAATTAAATTTTTTGTGTTTAAATACATAATTAGGTTGAGGTGAAGTTGTAATTTGTATTACAAAATTAAGATATAGAAATATGAAATGTGATATATATGTATATCGTGAACTTTCGAAATAGTCGACTAGTGGAATCAGAGTTGTAGCGCCAAAATTTYGGTATGTTATTTTGAAAAGTAAAATCTATCGAAATATTGGCGATTAAAAASGTCTTTTCCTATTTTGTCACTGGATGTCATTGCAGTCGTTTCGGGAATGAAGAAAAGCTACAGTCAAAAGTCAAAAATGAGTGAAAGTAATGAAAA